ATAAGGTATGCTCGATTTTTATAGTTGTAAACTGATTTTAGAGAAATTAGGCCATTTAAAGTCGTCGTTACATTTGGTTTGATATGCTTGTTGAAGTTTACATGATCTAGTACTTCAATAACTAAATAATTACATGTGTTTAATAGTTGTTAGCAAGTTGTAAGCTTGCTAGTTAGATATAGCAAATTGAACAATGATAAAACAGAGTAAATTTCATTTTAGTAATTTCCTCTTTCAAAATCACTCAGTGCGAACAATATCTAGATTGAAACATATTTAACTGATGCTCAAATTTCATTAATTCAATAAGGAGAGGGAAATCAAGCAAAAAACAAAACTCGGGGATTCGCATGATCTCCAACAGGAGCTAGTCGACGTGCGTCAATGGGACAAATGATACCTGATATGCATGATCCCCAACAGGAGCTAGTCGGCGTGCCTCAATGGGACAGATGATACCTGATATGCATGATCTCCAACAGGAGCTATTCGGCGTGCGTCAATGGGACAAATGATACCTGATATGCATGATCTCCAACAGGAGCTAGTCGGCGTGCGTCAATGGGACAAATGATACCTGATATGCATGATCTCCAACAGGAGCTAGTCGGCGTGCGTCAATGGGACAAATGATACCTGACATGCATGATCTCCAACAGGAGCCAGTCGGCGTGCGTCAATGGGACAAATGATACCTGATATGCATGCATCACTCGCAATGACAGTCCATACTTAGTCGAAACGTCACTATCGGGAATACGTCACAATCGGTTAATTTATAGATCAGACGACTGTTCTTATATACAAAGCTCTAAGACAACCAAAACATGTCGTTAATTAGGTAGTTGAGAACCATCGAACAGATCAACCAATCCGGGATTGTAACTGTGAACTTCTATAATGTCGAATCAGTATTTTAGTGCTGAGAAATTGAAAGTTGAAATCGTTTGTCATAGATTTTAGATAGTGTCAATTTTGATAAAAATCAAGATATAAAGCATATCTGTTAATTTCGAGGTGTAAGCACTCGCGGAAATGTGGGTTACTGAATTACAAAACACCGTTGATATTTCCGATTATGGAATCAAAGAACTTTGCAAGGTGTTTTTTATCATTTTCTTTGGGATGGTTTTGAAAATAAAGTTATGCCTAAGGTGCTTATAGTTGGATTAGACATATATAGCAGGAGGTGCAAATCCTGCAATGTTCTCCTGTGTTATACAAAGACATGTGACATTTAAGCAAAACATCGGAATGACAGTAGTTATTTTATTTTCCTAAGTTTTGTGCTCGAGCACTCACTGATATACAAACAAAGAGATGTAATATGATAGCCAATAAAAAAAAACTATTCAAATGACGTGGATAAAAATTACAGATCGCTGTACGGCCTTTAACAATGAGAAAACGTATTCCCCATAGCCAGTTATACAATGAATATTCAACTTGTAAAACCAAGTTTGTATGTATGCAACACATCTCACAATTTTTAACTTTTTTCACGAACTTTATGATTGCTTCATTAGATATGTGTTTTTTTTTTATTCATATAAATAGCAAGGATTGTTTTGTTATTGAATAATACCAGCCGAGAGATTAAAAACAAAAAGTTAGTTAAAACGCTTTTTGGCAATTAAATTGTTTGCAAACAAATGCTAAAAATGTTTAGAAACCTTCTCATTTTAAAAGTATTTATTTGATCAAAATACCGTATCAATACGCATATGATATGAGGCATTCGTTCTGCCTGACATTTTATATTAATTAAATCGAAAGGGTTGTTACTGATGGCGTTTGTATTATATTTAGAATGACAATATCTCTATAATTCTCATATACGAATAGGTTGTATTTTCACTTCTATGTAATTGCGTCTTTATCTACTGTAAATTTTATATTTTCCTAATTTTAATAAAAATACAAAATTTACTGTATACTTATCTGCTTGGTACAAAACACTTACAATGAACTGAAAAATAAAAATAAAAATACAAGTTTAAATAAATATAAAACAAACACCACTTCATCAATTTTAAAAAATAAGATAAATATATTGTTTTGAAGTGTTTACGGCTTTAAAGTTGAAACTGCTTTTTCTTAGACGTGATAGCTAATAAGGAGAAATACATATTTTCAGATTTGTGTTAAAGAAGACAATAACATATCGATTATTTTAATTATTTTATAATCAAACTTTGGGGAAATAAAGGTGCAATACCACCCAATCATAGTACGTCACTTCCCGTCCATATGAAAAAGGGTCGAAAAAAAATATACCCTTGACTTTGACAGCTGTAGGAAATTAACCTACATTTCATTGCAGTGAAAAAATTCTGAGTCGTCAACATATATCTTGGGTGAAACAAGGAAAACAAACAATCATAATATAGAGATAAACTTTAGACTTTGCCAACTAAAATAACACATCAATTGTTTATGTATCAGGCTTTCATTCTACATTGTGTACGCACGTATCACAGTATACTTATCTGTCTTGTAAATAACACTTACGGGCTGAAAAATAACGGTAATACAAGTTTAATATCTGGAAAAAATATGTTAAGCTACTCTCGATACAAAACATCATAATCTCAAAAACATCAATGCATACAATTAATAAAATATAGTAAACGTATTCTTGTAAAAGAAGTGCAGATGTCTGTCCAGTTAAATTAATCATATCAACACAGACCTCAGAAAGGATAGTATGTGTTAAGGGACACTGTAAGGTATGCTCGATTTTTATAGTTGTAAACTGATTTAACAGAAATTACGCCATTTAAAGTCGTCGTTACATTTGATTTGATATGCTTGTTGAAACTTACATAATTTAGTACTCCAATAACTAAATAATTACATTTGTTTTATAGTTGTTAGCAAGTTGTAAGCTTGATACTTAGATATAGCAAATTGAATTATGATAAAACAGAGTAAATTTCATTTTAGTAACTTCCTCTTTCAAAATCACTCAGTGCGAACAAAACATGGATTGAAACATATTTAACTGATGCTCAAATTTCATTAATGCAATAAGGAGAGGCAAACTTGCTGAGAAATTGAAAGTTGAAATCGTTTGTCATAGATTCTAGATTGTGTCAATTTTGAAAAAAAAAATCAAGATATAAAACAGATCTGCTACTTTCGGTATATGAGGTGTAAGCACTCGCGGAAATGTGAGTTATTGAATTACAAGACATCGTCGATATTTCCGATTGTGGAATCAAAGAACTTTGCAAGGTGTTTTTTTATCATTGTCTTTGAGATGATTTTAAAAATAAAGTTATGCCTAAGGTGCTTATAGTTCGATTAGACATACATAACAGGAGATGCAAATCTTGCAATGTTTTCCTGTGTTATACAAAGACATGTGACATTTAAGTAAAACATCGGAATGACAGTAGTTATACTATTTTCCTAAGTTTTGTGCTCGAGCCCCCTTTGATATACAAACAAGGAGATGTAATATGATTGCCAATAAAAAAAACTATTCAAATGACGTGGATAAAAATTATAGGTCGTGTACGGCCTTTAACAACGAGAAAACCCATTCCCCATAGCCAGTAATACAATGAATATTCAACTTGTAAACCCAGGTGTTTATGTGTGCAACACATCTCACAATTTACTTTTTTCACGAACTTTATGATTGCTTCATTAGATATGTGGTTTTTTTCTTCATATAAAAAGCAAGGATTGTTTTGTTATTAAATAATACCAGCCGAGAGATTAAAAACAAAAAGTTAGTGAAAACGCTTGTTGACAATTAAAGTTTTTGCAAACAAATGGTAGAATTATTTAGAAACTAAAGCGGACAACTTAACTTTGAACTCATGATCCATCTTGAATGAAATAAAATAAAACAACGTTACATTAAACTTGGACTTCACTAGTGTAATCATTTCCCTGGATTGTTTCTTTTCTGTAGAATTCAAATATTGATACAGGTTAAGAGGAAACATTTCAAAGATATGCATGTACTAATGCATTTGTCAAGACAGATGATAATATTCAATATTGATAATGATTAAAACAAGACAACAATGCGTTTTGTTTAAAATTTCATATAAAGTATTTCCTAATGTATTGCAGACAGGTTGACGACATAATGCAAAACAACATCGGTCAGACAGTGAATTTATATGTGCGTAGAACAGTACTATTTCTATATTCAAAGTAATTGTATTAAGTTGACTGTAGTAAAGTCAAATTGCAACATGTGCAATACGTACTATATGCGGTTTATATCGACTTGTTCTGATGGGACCCTTTTTTTCTTGTTTAATACCAGTATACTAGATGCAAATTGTTCATTTTTTACAAGACATTTTAAACAAGATACAAGGGGGCATTGGAAAATCATTAGTCCAAAAAACAACAAACAACACAATGGCAAAAAAAAAAACGACAAAAGGACAAACAAAAAAAAACAAGACTATACAAAGAAAACTAAGACCTAGCATCCGTCATGTTACTCATAGAAAATCCATTGTAAGTATGGCTGGTAAAATAGGAAAGATTGTTGTTGTGACAATTGGAACATATCCGTAGTTATATGGAATACAAATATTTCAAATGTGTCAAACAAACTTTGTTTGCGTCCGAAAATCCATTTCAGGGGAGTCATCAACATTATCATTTGGATTCAATGTCATCTGTGCTATCATTAACCCGCTATCATGCAAATCATGATTAAGTTATTAGTTGCCTGGTAGAATTAGATAATAAAGGAGATGGAAACAAACAAACCTAGTCAAACGCCTCAAGAATTAAATGGAATGACCGGTAGAAATTGTAAGCATGGTAATCTTTAACCATATACAGCTGATATCATAAAGCTCGTGTTTTAATGTGGAAGTATTAGCATGTATGTAATGGTCAGAGTTAAATATACTATCTGATTTTACAAAGTGTCTATTATCCGAACGATTGACTAACATTTTTTGAAAACTAATCTGTATTAGATGACTGTTTGGAATATTCGTCACTTGCAATTGAAGTGGATAATACTCACTTGTTAGTTCTCTCTTCCTTTCTGAAAGATAAAACAGAACAATGCTGTCAATTACACATGCCTACGTGACAGCTTTCTAAACAAACATACTGATAGATTTGAAGTCGTTTGATAAGTAAGCATTTCCGGAACAAAACAAATGTTTTCGAATAAAACGTTTTAGTTAACTTTATTTTAACCACCTCATGTTGAATTGTATTGTGCATTTACCACTCAAAATCTGTATTGACAAAGATAACAATAGTATTATAATATTAACGGCATCACATTTTCAACATCAGAGGTGCATTACGACTCTTAATGTCACTTTGGGGATGCATGACTCAGCAAATTTGAATATCTAAAAATAAATACAAATGTGTCTAAATCTATAGTTATTCGATGCATTACACGCTATGAAGTATGTTATCATTCACTATGTTGTTATCACATCACGAGGCTTTTTTAGCGTTTTAAATATCTGAAACATAACCGTCGTAAAATTGGAAATGTCGTGTCAAAGAATGAACAGTTCAATGTTAACATATGATATTTAAATGAACGTTTTTCTTTCATTATCAAACAGAGGACTGTGGTCAATTTTCAATGAAATTTAACTATCATGTATTACCAACATATGAGTACATTATTTTTATGATCTCATTAAAATTTCTTCCGAACATCATTTATTTCCTTTTAAATTATTTTGGTAAACTCTGTATCCAAGAAACTATTAAACGTGCCATTCATATCATTGTTGTCATATTTTACTCGTTAACTGCAGATACAGGTGTGACATTAAATTAAGATATCAGAGTATTTACAAGTTCTGGGGTTGACTTCTACTAAAAACCTGCTCTAGAACACTCTTTATGTTTTTATGTCATGCATCGTCTTATTAAAGATTGCAAGCACCTTTGTGATATTAACCAAGTCCAAATGACAGAAGTTGCATAATTCGGAAAAAAAACCAGATATTCTGGACTGCATTGAAACTCAAACATTAAGAAACTCTATTTTTTTTCAAACATAGGAGACACCATATGATATAAATATATATTACCTCATGTCTATAGAAAATAATATCTGGAAACTTACCCACAACGTTGACATCTGTACAGGTATCTTTCTTGATCTTTGGGTTTCATATCGTGTTCGTATTCACTGTAATGACCAACACATTTGATTAAATAAATCAAAACTGTTTTTGACGACATCAACATTGAACATTTATTTTAATACGTAGTGTTACGGTTAGGGTTAGGGTTAGGGTTAAGGTTATTATTCCCTAAGTGGTAAAATAAACAGTTTTTCACAATACACAAACAACATTTGAATACACTTGATGCAATTACCAAGCTCGTTATTATCGAGGTAAATAAAACATATTTTATAATGTACCTAAACCAAGACACAGATAAAGACTTTGCATCAGGAAGATATATTTCTTGAATTAAGAAAGAGGGATGAAAGATACCAGAGGGACAGTCAAACTCATAAATCGAAAACAAACTGACAACGCCATGGCCAAAAATAAAAAGACAAACAGACAAATAATAGTACAGATGACACAACATAGAAAACTAAAGACTAAGCAACAAGAACCCCACCAATAACTGGGGGTGATCTCAGATGCTCCGTAAGGGTAGGCAGATCATGTTCCACATGTGGCACCCGTCGTGCTGCTTATGTTATTACAAATCCGGTAAATGTCTAATTCTGTAGGTCACATTCGTGAAAAGGGAAGGGTATGATAGTTACGACATAAGGAACATATCCGATATCATCTGTGAAAAGGTTATACCATAACAGTCAACCAACTCGTGATGGCGTCCGTAACATTTACGAAGGAATGATTTCAACTTCACCATTTGGAACTCTTGGTTAGCAATCCTCTATCAAGGAAATCATGATAGGAAATACAAGCCCGGGAAAGATATCATATTATGTCACATGTGGAGCAGACACTGTTTACCCTTTCATAGCACTAAAGTTCACCATCGGTTTTTGGTAGGGTTTGCTGTTACGTCTTCTATGTATCTGCCGTCTCTTTTTCCAAACCTTATGACATCAGCAAAACAAAGTCCGTGTTTACACCGACTGATGTATCGACGTGCAGGTAGCAATGAATTTACGACATTCATATCTATATTCCAAGTCCTTATACAAATATTTCTTGTTTGTATATACGTTTTCTTTCTTTTCTAAGACTTTCTTAAAACAAACAATAAAACAAACAAAAAAACACTCATTAATATTGACACATTACTAGAACTTGACGCTGTATTTTGATTCAACATTACGTAGAACAGTTCAGTTATGACAATATACAAACAGAACACTTTATTAACTTCCTTTGCTATGTGTGAATGTGACTACTGAAGTTGTTGACCCCGTCATCAAAAGCCGATTTTAAATAATCTTGTGAATCGATGATATCTTCAAAAGAGGTGGAGGATACCAAGAGGGACTTTCAAATTCATACGTTGAAGACATATTGGATAACGATTTGGAATACAAGGAAAATTGACAAAATGACAAACAGCAGTTCACAGAACACCATATATATATAAAAAAAAGGAAAACATGATAATAGCGTTCGGAACACTCTTTGCTCCATCCTGCCTAAATAGTTGATGATTTTATTAAATTACTTGTTCATTCAATATCATCATTATGTCATAACTTTGAAAGCGTCACAATCTCTATCTGAACAAGAGAAAACATTTTAAATAGAAGTTTATATACGAAAATTAGATACAACTTAATTTAACGATATTGAAAATAAACTCCATATGTTTGCATATAATTATAAGTTTTATTCACTACAACGCAATCCTGCTCGAGTTAGTGTTAATGTCTGCAACACATTATAAATGTTTTTTTTTTCTATGTCAAAGATATTTCGCTAAAAAAATGTTGATCTGTTGTTGTAAGTAAAAAATAAACTCCACAAAACAACAAAACAAAACACATGTTAATTGGAAAAAAATATATATATTCATAAAAACAAATCAACAAATACGTTCAAAAGAACCTCAAAAACAATTTAATGCAGATAGGTACAAACTAAGTAAATATTTTAACCATTAAATAGTTGCACTGGTATGTACAATATAAGGAGTTTCTTATTGACACCATATTTGTTGAATTTGGAGGTAGACTTTTTTTCAACAAATTGTCGGCATTCCTATGGGAACAAACTGTGCGCCTCTCCTTGCCGATCTCTTCTTAATGTTATATGAGTTAGAGTTCCTTCAGACACTTGTCAAAAACAAGAAGATCAAATAAGCCAGATTATTTAATTTCACATTAAGATATATTGATGATGTTCTTTCCATTAACAATTCAAACTTTTCTGATTGGGTTCCATTGATATATCCTCCAGAATAAGAAATTAAAGAAACAATAGACATTGTCATCTCACTACCAGAATCTATGACAACGAGACGATTTTAATTTTGAAATTAACAATTTCCCCCCATCTTAATAGCAATATACCAATTTCACCTGCATATGGGATATACATTTCCAAACTCATTCGGTATTCAAAAGCTTGAAGCTGCTGCTCAGACTTTATAAAACGTCACCAGTGTCTGAGCAAAAAGTTGATGGACCAGGGTTATGTCAAAGAACGTCTCGTCCTTTTTCTAAAAAGATTCATCGGAAGATACCAAGACCTTGTTGAAAAATATTCCGTATCAACTTGACAAATAATACACGATGATCTTGCAGTATAGATTCTAGGTACTGACGTTGTTTATCATCTTAATTACGTGTTATAGTGTTATTTTATTTGTCCTTGTAAACTATTTATTTTACTGTTTTGTCTATTTTTGGTAATATCCCTTTGACGAGGCTCGATACTTATAAACCCCGTCATTGTGTTATTGTGCTATGGTAAATGTTTGTATTCTTGTCTTTCGTATTTGCGTATGTGCTTTGTCTATATGCCTTTTTGTTTTTCTTTGTTGACATCTTTGTTTGTTTTTATAATGATTAAGATTATAACACAATGTTGACTGCTGTACCCCTATTTTTGACATTTTACCTATTACATCTGTGTGTTTTGTTCACACATTATTGTCAATATACTAGCATTTATGCGACTGTCATACAAGTGAGTGGTTTAGCTAGCTATAAAACCAGGTTTAATCCACCATTCTATACATTTTAAAATGCCTGCACCAAGTCAGTAATATGACAGTTGTTATCCATTCGTGTCATGTGTTTGAGCTTTTGATTTTGCCATTTGATTAGGGACATTCCGTTTTGAATTTTCCTCGGAGTTCGGTATTGTTGTTAATTTACTTTATACATGTTATCGGAACAATAGATAAACAGGCTTCATTCAAATAACATTTATAGAGATAATGTGTGATTCTAATAAATATTTGATACAGGGTTTTATTGTAATGAGCATAAATTTAACACACTACATTATACAAAAATATTGACATACCTCTTTTGTTTAATTACTTCTTTCATCACGAGACTGTTTTGTTTTGAACGCATTTCACTGTAAGAAAAACCAATTTAGATTTGAACATATGCTTTCTTTTATTCATGATAATAAAACAACACATTCTAACAATTTGGGAAAACCGATTGATATGTACTGTACCAGTATGAAAACAAGTATTCATAAAACTACTTCATAATGTTATGTAGTGTCTGTAGTGCATTGCTAATTCAATACAAAATCTGGAGTGCATTGTCAATTCAATATAAAATTTGGAGTGCATTGTCAATTCAATACAAAGTCTGGAGTGCATTGTCAATTCAATATAAAATCTGGAGTGCATTGTCAATTCAATACAAAATCTGGAGTGCATTGTCAATTCAATATAAAATCTGGAGTGCATTGTCAATTCAATATAAAAGTTGGAGTGCATTGTTCATGCAAATTCAAATCTTAAGTGCATTGTCAATTCAATACAAAATCTGGAGTGCATTGTCAATTCAATATAACATTTGTAGTGCATTGTTCATGCAAATTCAAATCTTAAGTGCATTGTCAATTCAATATAAAATCTGTTATGCATTGCTAATTCAATATAAAATCAGGAGTGCATTGTCAATTCAATATAAAATTTGTAGTGCATTGTCAATTCAATACAAAATCTGGAGTGCATTGTCAATTCAATATAAAATTTGGAGTGCATTGTTCATGCAAATTCAAATCTTAAGTGCATTGTCAATTCAATACAAAATCTGGAGTGCATTGTCAATTCAATATAACATTTGTAGTGCATTGTTTATGCAAATTCAAATCTTAAGTGCATTGTCAATTCAATATAAAATCTGTTATGCATTGCTAATTCAATATAAAATCAGGAGTGCATTGTCAATTCAATATAAAATCTGTAGTGCATTGTCAATTCAATATAAAATCTGGAGTGCATTGTCAATTCAATATAAAATTTGGAGTGCATTGTTCATGCAAATTCAAATCTTAAGTGCATTGTCAATTCAATACAAAATCTGGAGTGCATTGTCAATTCAATATAAAATCTGGAGTGCATTGTCAATTCAATATACAATTTGGAGTGCATTGTTCATGCAAATTCAAATCTTAAGTGCATTGTCAATTCACTATAAAACCAGGAGTGCATTATTAGTTCAATTTATAAAATATGGAGTGCATTGCTAATGCAATAATACATTTGGAGTGCATTGTTAATTCAATATACATTTTGAAGTGTATTCTTAATTCAATATAAAATCTGGAGTGCATTGTTAATTCAATTTAAGATCTGGAGTGCATTGTCAATTCAATTTAAAATCTGGAGTGCATTGATAATTCAATTCATTATTTTAAGTGCATTGTTAAATGAGTATAAAATCTGGAGTTCATTGTTAAATTCAATAAAACATCTGGAGTGCATTGCAAGTGCAATATAAAATTATGAGTCCATTTCTAATTCAATATAAAATCTGGAGTACATTGTTAATTCAATTTGAAATCTGAAAGACATTGTTAATTCAATATAATTTCCGGAGTACATTGTTAATTCAATACACCATAACCACATATTTATTTACTGCTGCAAATCATTTTTGATCCATTATATAAATTACACTGTAATTGACCATTGAATTGTATATACTAAAATTAAAATTGAGAATGGAAATGGGGAATGTGTCAAAGAGACAACAACCCGACCACAGAACAGACAACAGCAGAAGGTCACCAACAGGTCTTCAGTACAGCGAGAAATTCTCGCACCCGGAGGCGTCCTTCAGCTGGCCCCTAAACAAATATATTTCTCTCGATAAAATCTAATACGTTGTTACATACACGAGCGAATCGTACAAGTTGAGATATATAAACACCGTAAGATGGTGACAAGGGAACGTCACAATCTAAAAATGGATAATTAACGATAGGAAATGAAAGATCATCTCTTTTATCATATATTTTAGTATTAAGCTTTCCATTACTGATATAGATATCAAGATCGAGGAAAGGGCAGTGGTCATTGTTAGTATTAGCTTTATGTAAAGTAAGTTCAACAGGATAAATTTCTTTAGTATACATACTGAAGTCGTCATTATTGAGAGCCAAAATATCATCCAAATATCTAAAAGTATTATTAAATTTGTGTATCAGATGTTGTTTCGATGGGTCTTTGCTGATTTTTGTCATAAATTGTTACTCATAGCAATACAAAAAAAAGGTCCGCAATAAGTGGTGCAAGTTAGTCCCCATTGGAATTCCGATAACCTGACGATATACGGAATCTCCAAAGCGAACAAAAATGTTATCTAGTAAAAATTCAAGGGCATTAGAGTATCAAAGCATGTCCAATTGACATAGTTTTGTTGGTTATTGCTACTAAAAAATGACCTAAAAGAGTTTGAACATATATATTCACATTCTGACTTTTTAAATCCCCATTTAATTAGGTGTGTGATTTTTTTCTTAATGAGAATGTGAGGCAATGTGGTCTATAGAGTAGAAAAATCAAAACTTTGAACAGATTCAAAATCACCAATATATGCATGTAATTTATCAAGTACTTCAAACGAGTTCTTGACACTCCAAAAGTAATTAATTCCACTATTTTCGAAGGCCTTATTTGAACAATTTATTATCATATTTTTGATTGTATCAAGTGTACTGGTAAGAAGAATAGACAATTTAGTAGTGGAACAATGGCTTGAAGACGAAATAAATCTATATTTGTAAGGTGTTTTGTGTAGCTTCGGAAGCCAATACATAGTTGGGACTTTCATTGTATTTGGTTCTGCTTGTAGAGCGGTAGCTAGAAGTTTATGTTTGTTACAAATGTCGTTTTCTGAAAATGGAGTCAGTTGGAATGTTGGTGAATTGGTGATTTCTTTTTTCAGAACCTCAATGTAAAATTTACGTCAAACAATAATAATATTATTAGCAGCTTTATCGGCCGGGACAAAAACAAATTCCTTGGTTAGTTCTTTTAGTTTATGTTTGATACGAGAAATAGGTTTATTGTGGTTATTTTTAAGAGTAAAATGTTCTTTAAAATGTTAAATACGTATATCAACTATGTTTATTACTGAATTAAAAAAAGAGTCCAAAGATTTTTTGTCAGCTTTTTCCCGTTTTATCCGTTTCAAACAGTAAGTATGGAGTGAGTCGTGGATGATATTACGATACTCATTCCAATTAATAATTGACGGGGGACGATATTTAGGTCCTTTACTGAGGAATGATTTTTACTCTCGGTCTTGAACGATGTTAAGATCTCCTGTTATAACATGGGGAATGGGTCCATAAATGTATTCGGAATTACTGCAATTACATGAAGTAGGTGTATTTTAACTGATTTTAACATCTTTACACAATTGGCTATAATTAAACACAAATTTCCGGGTAGATTTCTTGTAAATATAACAAATAAGAGGGAGCTCAGTATTATCAAAATATTCCGGAATTTGTTCTTTAACAGAATGGTCGTTAAAAATACCGGCAATATTTACAAAATCAAAACCTTTATTAACATACTTTATTTTAATAAACTGTTTTTTTATGATCTTCAGGGCGATCAATTTTGGGAAACAGTTTAGAATAACAATATGCCATTATAATTTGAACGATTTCATACTTAGGACTGTTGCAATCCTCTAAAATTTTATTTAACTTATTAACCGGTAATGAACAGAGCTTTGTTAACAGATAATGTCTGCCGTTGTTTTTTTAAATAAAAATTAGGTCCGAAATATTGGTATGATTGGTCCGAAATTTTCTTTGATTGCGATTTTTTCTACGACCATGAGAACGATTTTTTCGCATACTAATACAGATTTCATTACAGAAAACCAGTATGAATTTAAAAAAAGAGAATTTTTATGTTTCTGAAATATATGGACCGAATAAAAAAAAAAGTCTGAAAAAATACGCGTCACAGTAAATTAAAATTGCCATAATAAAGCATGTGTCACAACTGTACAAAAAAATGATCTCATGCCTTAAACCATTTATTTACCTTATCTTGAATGTGCCAACAATCTGTTTGATGTCATTATTTGTTGCGGACCTAGCTGTAAAATGTACATTAGGGAACTCGAATATAGGCTCTATCGTCAGCTTCTCAATGTCATCCGCAAGTTTCTGAAGAGACTGTAACAATTTTTCATCGTTTCGTGTCTTGTCCAGTTCATATATCTTCTTGTCTAAGTCGCTTCCTGCCTTCAAATCAATTTTAGTATCTGCAATGATCCTTTTCAATTTATCCTTTTCCGTCCTGGATTGATCTCTGACCGATGCAATCATCTCTGCGATACATTTATCAATCATAGCCTTTATCTGTGTACCTTCTTCTGTAATAGCTTTAACTACTACTTCCACCTTTACATCAAATGTCTTTATACCTTCTTCGAAATTTTTCATATTTTTGGTTGCCTCTTGTACCTTTCTACGCAGTTCTTTTTCATTCTTCGCTTTCAGACGTGCGATGCTGTCATAAAGCTTTGAGAAATCGTGCCGTTTGTGACTTCCTGTCACACAACTGCTGCAAACTGCTACATTACAGGTATTACACACAAAACTTACGTCTTCATGGTGGTCTTTACATTTTGATTTACCTTCCGGGATAACGTCCGAAGAAGATTGAAACTGGTGATTTTTCGACATGTTCTGCCTTTTATGTAAGGTTTTACAGTTTTCACAAAAGTATTGTTCACACTCTAAGCAGTATTGTGATCCTGGAGCACTAACACAAATCTCGCATGTTTTAAAGGCTGCCTGTGCCATTTTGTCTCTTATCGTCTACACTGTACAATGCACAGGTAAGGTAAATAACCAATGATAACAACGTTCTACATTTAAATCAATAAAGGTTATATATGTGTGCTGTGTATTTAAATATAGAAATAGGAAACATAAAACTTAAGTTATGATTTGAATATATTATAAATATTTTACATATAAGACTTCATGTTATTGACTACTGTAGTATTGGCTGGTGTACGATTTTATTGACTACTGTATTATTGGCAAGTGTTCGGTTTTATTGAATACTGTATTATTGGCTAGTGTTCGGTTTTATTGAATACTGTATTATTGGCTAGTGTACGGTTTTATTGATGATATTAGGTATTGACCTGAATGTTTGACTTGGTAATTATAATTTAAATAAACCAAACAAAGTACATGTATGATAATATTGTTATAATAACTGGTGTATGTATAAATATACATATGATACTGAAGGAAACTGTATATTGTATTGTCAATAAGATTTGACTATTTACCGGGTTTGTACTAACATGAGCAACACGACGGGTGCCACATGTGGAGCAGGATCTGCTTGCCCTTCCGGTGCACCTGAGATCACCCCCAGTTTTTGGTGGGGTTCGTGTTGCGTACGCAGCGAGGTTAAGGCACATTGAAGGAAAATCAATTAATTTTGGCCATAATTTGTATCTGCAAAAAACACGCTTGTTATCACCAATAACTTTGTTAAAAGTATATGCCAATGTCTTTATTTCCAAAAAACAAACATGTGAACATTTTTATTACATTGTAAGGTCTTGCAGTAAAGTGAAAGTAGTCACGTGACCACTAATCCAAAAACAACCTTAGCGATCACAAAAGTGAAAAGTGCAGGTTGAAGATAACCACGTACAAACGCCAACCAAGGAATTCTAGACACTGCTAGGTACACTTTATATAAAAACCGCTGTTACAAGTTCAATATTTACGTTTAAATTGAAAATCGATCAACTTTTACGAGTAAAATGGCATAAAAAGGCAAAAAAATACCCTCCCGATGGCGCTAGAAAAATGATCCACAACTATTTGGATTTGTAACAGCACTTTTTATAAACTGCAACATCTGTTGAATCTATACATGTCTGCAACTAAGAGGTACTCATTGATCTTCAACCTGCACTTTTCGTATAAAAAATAGTTGTTGATTGTTTTTAGTTTCCGAGATAAAATACAAACGCACAAAAGACGAAGAAAAGCAAAGACGGAATAAGACGGGCCAACAACCCGGAAACGGGGAAGTTGGGAGTATAAAATTTTATTATTACTATATTAGAGTACCATCGATGAAACATTCGTTTTTTCAATTAATTTCTATAAAAATAAAATATTTGAAGATTTGCTCAAGTTTTCCAGTTTTCTTGGAAGATTCCAATATAAGGATACGAGGTCGTACAAGCTAGATAACAGAGATAAAAATATTACCCGAGAACTGGTTGGCGAACAAAAATAATAAGATAAATATCCTAGCACTACCCCTCCTACACAGTATGTGTTCCACAAATTTTGTATACCAATGTATTAATAGCCAAGTATTTTCATGTTCGAACCTCTGGTGTATCATCGCAAATGGCAGAGGCGGATTCAGGTGGGCTTGGGCCCCCTTGTGGATCAACCATTATATGGTTAATACATACACTTTTTACATGTCCCACTCCAAACGTCGCTTAGTGATGGGGGACCCCGAGTCCCTACTTTTTTTTCAAAATCTGGATTCCACATCTGATCAGGGGTCCTAGTGTAGTTCTCATTTTGCAAATGCAAGTTCATTATACAAATTAAAAGCTACTGATGTCTCTCCTAGTACATCAAATATGTATATATTGTAAATCATTATATTATTAAAAAAAGTTGCATTTTCACAAAGAACTCACCAAATATCATGAATTCACTTGTATTATTTGTTTGCTCTTCGTCATTGATAATGTGTAAATAAATTATAAATATAAACTTCCTACCTGCATATAAATATTCAGATTTTACTTGTTGAATGTCTCAAGTGAGAACTGGTATCAATTTGTAAATCATGATTGGGAGGTCTTTTTGAATTTCTTGTGATTTTTTGCCTCTGAATATTCACCATGCAGTTACCAAGCCAGTATTAATGTACAGCTTGCACTTTTTGATTTTGTCCCCAATGATTTCCTGCATTTTGTTGGACAGAAGATTCCTTTTCATCCCATCTGAAGCAATATTTTTCTTATTTCAACATTTTTACTTGGTAAAATCATTCTGCCCTCCTTACTTATTTTTGTTTGGAATATTCAAAAGCACACAACAGCATTAACATGGGGGATACAATTCCCTTTTCCTAGAATGAGTAACTTTTAATATTAGCACTTACTATCTTTTTGGGTTAAGGACTAACAGCCGAGACATCGAGTAACCCATCCTTAAAAAAATATACCTTTATCTCTCATGCTTTATGCTTGCACTATATCATGGAGAGATAAACAGATTTGACAAATATCGAATGCAGTTACGACTAATTTTAATCGCATCTGTGAAAAAAACCCAGATTGGATTAGTTTCAGATACATGTACCTATGCTTCAATCAGCAACCTTGTCATATATATCATCTTAAATTCTCAACATTATAGTATACCATGAAGCTGCAAATAGTGATCTATTTTTTCAGCCGCTCATTACATGTTAAGTTTCTCCCTACCCGAGTGCCAACAATAAAAATGGACAGCCACCGAAGAAATAGCCAGAAGTGCTAACTGACATCCAACACAAGCAATCAATTGTTTTTACATGATAAAGTGCCATATAATTTTAAAGTTCATCGTTAAACATGTTAAAATCAGAAAACATATTTCCCATGACCTGCTGAAATTGGAAGCAACTGATTGGTAGCTATGGTAATTAAATTTTTTTTCTGTCAAAATAAAACAAGCATTCCGAGAGTATTGCATGGCAATACATAGCAATACACAAGTCCGCTACCGGTTAAAAATTAATTGTAATGGAACAAAATGCTAACCTTATCTATAACTTGTCATGGTGAAAACTATATAACAAATATTAAATCAATATCTTCAAGCATGACAAAAAAGTGCGGAAAACTGAATATTTGAGTGAATTTTCTAAGTCCAAGGACCATAACTCTGCACAAAATTATCAGACCGGAACAAATTGTACAATTTTGTTCACAAATTGGAATTTTGTGAACGTAGTTACACTTACCTGATATCCTTACATTATGGATTATCTTTCCGGTATTTGGTCACATCTCGCTCAAAACGCTTGACTGATCAAGAATTCAAATCTCTCGGTGAATCAGTCCAAGCGTGAGAACCCCTTCAGTATTCTCCGGCGAAATCCAAACAGATTGCCAAAAGAATTACTAATGGGGAGGAGGTGGGTAGTATATCAGGTAAGTGTAACTACGTTCACAAAATTCCAATTTGTGAACAAAATTGTACAATTTTAATATTACTTGTTACACTTACCTGATATCCTTACATTATGGATATCCATAGATTCTAAAGCAGTCCCAACTCAAGCGGTGGACTGTAATTCTTTTGTTCAAATAATGTACACTATATTACACTATATACAAAGTCTAAATGTTTGACTTTAAACACATTAAATAGATGTCTTTTTCATCTCACACACAAAGGTTTAAAAACTTGCATCGCATCTCGTCGGATATGAATAGTTCCAACACTATACAAACTATATTACAAGCTAAAAAACTGTACACATTTTTCTTCTTTTTTTTCGAATTTTATGTATTTTTCTTCTTTTTTTTTTTTTTTTTTTTTACTTCGATAAAACATGAGGGTCTATGTGACGTAAGTAAAATTTGGTGAATGTGGATTCCCTGCTCCAATCAGCAGCTTCCATGATGTTCTTCATTGATGCACCTTTATAAAGAGCCCAAGAAGGACCAATAGCTCTTGTCGAATGAGCCTTAACAGATTTCTTTTTGTCGTTATATGCCATCTGAATGGTACTCACAATCCATGATGAAATTGTTTGACTTGAAATTGGCTTATGTGGATTACTGATTGCTAAGAACAATTTACTATCTTGTCTGTTTTCACCACGAAAATTGTCAGTGCTCTTTAAATAGTACGTTAATGCCCTTTTAGGGTCAAGAAGCTTTTCTGCATCAAATGCAGGTACAAAAATCTTAGCACCAAAATGTCCAGGACGGTCTTGTTTTGACAATCCTTCTCTAATAAAATAAACTCCTCTGCTATGTACAGATATATTTCCATCTCCCAAACGTAAGGCCTGTATATCACTGCAACGCCTGAAAGTAGTGATAGCAATTAAAAATACAGTTTTCCATGTGATAAACTTGAGTTCAGCCTTTTTCATTGGCTCAAAAGGCTTTTTCTTTAACATTTCAAGTATTTTATCTAAATTCCATTCAGGAAGTAGTTTGACCCTGGGAGGCCTTGAATTGAAAACACCCTTCAATAAACGAATAATGTATGGGTGTTGACCTACTGGTATTTTTTCAACTGGGGGTAAAACACTTGATAACATAGATCTGTAGCCCCCAATCGTACTATACTGGAGACCACTGGTATACAGACTTGTAAGAAAATCTGCAGTTTCTGTTAAAGAGGCAGAATAGGGATCAATTTCCCTTTCACTACACCAGCCACAGAATTTTTTGAACTTACTAGAATAGTCCTTTTGAGTTCCTGTTCTCCAAGAAGCTGACATGAGTTGTCTAGTTTCTTTAGAAAAACCTCTCTTTTTGAAAATTCTGTTGATAGAGGCCATGCAACCAGACTGAATATTTCTGGGCTTGGATGGTATATTTTTGTTCTTGGCTGATGTAGTAGATTTTTTTGAACTGGTATTTTTATGGGATAATCTGATATCATTTTTAGCAGTTCTGGGTACCAGTGTCTCCTTGGCCAATGAGGAGCTACAAGAATTAGCTGGCAATTGTACCGATTCATGTGTTGGAGCACTTTCGGTACTAGACAGATCGGAGGAAAAGCATACCCGATTACATTGTCCCGCGGTATGGACAGAGCATCTATTGC